CTTCATTATAACTAATTTATTTATAGTCATTAATTGCGGGCTTTAGTTCTTTTAACTAATATTAACATGTGAATTTAATTGTAGATTATTTTCATTGTGACGTAAATGATGATCATCTTTCGATTTTCAATTTGTAAATTTATTTATTATTAATTAAAAAAAGATAATTTCTTAATATACACTAGTGTGCGAAACACGGATCACGTGACTATAATTTGTCACCCATGTCACACCCCTATAGTTTTCCATTTTTACTATTTATTCTAGGGACTTAGAATTTTTTCAGTAGGAAAAACCTTATTTGTCACATATTATATGTCACGTTTACTAATTTCAGCCAAATTTTATAATTCCAGCCAAAAATTACCATAATTTCCAATTTTGGAAATTAGAGTAACGTTACACAACCCAAAAAGGCAATTTTGTTTCTCCGTAAAAATGAAAATTCGTTACACAAATTTCCAAAATAGGAAATTATTTATGCAGATCACCGAAATGATAATAATCACGTGACCAGTGTTCACACACACGTAGTGTACAAATAGAAATAGTCTTAAAAAAATGTGTAATTTATGGGAAAAATCACAATTTTTAATTTAATTAACAAACAAATAAAAAAATACAATTTTATTAATAAAAAAAAGTACCTTCATTATAACTAATTTATTTATAGTTACTATATACAAGTTTCAATTTTTATAACATGTGAATCCAATTTTAGATTATTTTTACTTACTGTGACGTAAATGATGATCAACTTCAATTCACAAAATTTATTTAAACAACTGGTGTCCAAAAAACAATCAATTGATATATTGAAATTGAAATTGAAATTGAAATTCATTGCAATGAAACGAAATTTCAATTATGTTTATATATATTTTATATAAAAACGGACCCTGTTTTGCCATATTTGCTAACCAAATTAGGACCTACTTCCTTCCTTTTTTGGAATACAACTTATTATTACAACGGCCAATCACAATAAACAACACTATGAAATTTAGATCATCTGATTGTTAACAACTTTGTATCGTGATCTGTATATATTGATAAATATTAACTCTTTTATAGCTAATGATCGACAAGAAAGATGTATTTTATTTAGTGATACCTGAAAATTGGTATCTGCATTTTGCATTAATATTACACAAACAACTATATATAATCGAATAAAGGAGTTTATTTACCTTATTTTTTAGGAAGAATTCCAATAAAATAATTTAGTAATGGCTCAAAGTAACGATAAAGGTAAAAGCATATAACATGAGTATAGATATCTAATACAAATTGAAATTGCTCTAAAATTTTTTTCAAACCAAATTTGCAACATAATGAAACTAGTTTCAAAAATTGAGAAAGATAAAGGTAAGAAAATTATTTAACAGCTTGTAAATTATAAACGTATAATTTGAATTTTTTAAACTATTTCTAAAAATTATTTTACTGTATTAGCTCGTAAGTAGTAGATTATCTTATAATCTGAATGATAATTACTTACTTCTATAATTTATATAACCAAATAATTTATTTTATTGTTTAATAATATTATAGTAGTTGGTAAGTTAATAGCTATTTTTTTTTTTATCGTATTTTACATGATATTTTAAATAACTAAATTTTCTATTAATTAATTGTTTAATAATTACGGTACTAATATTATAGAAAGTAAGTAATTAATTTTATATTAATGTAAAAGTATTTATATATAATTTAAACTAATAATAATATTTATTTAAATAATTAGATTGTAAGTTATTATATATACTTAATTTTTATATACAATTATAATATTTTATCTAATTGATTATAATTACTTTATTATTAATTAATAATGCTACAGGGTGTAAGTTATTTAATTAATCTATTATATTTATATAATATTTACATAAAATTTAAACTAACTAAATTCTTTATCTAAAAATTATTTTGTAATTTCTTTTAGTTAGTAAGTTATAAGTTATTAATTTAATTTTATTATATTTATATAATATTTACATATAATTTAAACTAACTAAATTCTTTATTTAAAAAATTATTCAAATATTTTAGAACGTAAGTAATTCTTTATATTTATATAATATTTACATATAATTTAAACTAACTAAATTCTTTATTTAAAAAATTATTCAAATATTTTAGATCGTAAGTAATTCTATTATATTTATATAATATTTACATATAATTTAAACTAACTAAATTCTTTATTTAAAAAATTATTCAAATATTTTAGATCGTAAGTAATTCTATTATATTTATATAATATTTACATATAATTTAAACTAACTAAATTCTTTATTTAAAAAATTATTCAAATATTTTAGATCGTAAGTAATTCTATTATATTTATATAATATTTACATATAATTTAAACTAACTAAATTCTTTATTTAAAAAATTATTCAAATATTTTAGATCGTAAGTAATTCTATTATATTTATATAATATTTACATATAATTTAAACTAACTAAATTCTTTATTTAAAAAATTATTCAAATATTTTAGATCGTAAGTAATTCTATTATATTTATATAATATTTACATATAATTTAAACTAACTAAATTCTTTATTTAAAAAATTATTCAAATATTTTAGATCGTAAGTAATTCTATTATATTTATATAATATTTACATATAATTTAAACTAACTAAATTCTTTATTTAAAAAATTATTCAAATATTTTAGATCGTAAGTAATTCTATTATATTTATATAATATTTACATATAATTTAAACTAACTAAATTCTTTATTTAAAAAATTATTCAAATATTTTAGATCGTAAGTAATTCTATTATATTTATATAATATTTACATATAATTTAAACTAACTAAATTCTTTATTTAAAAAATTATTCAAATATTTTAGATCGTAAGTAATTCTATTATATTTATATAATATTTACATATAATTTAAACTAACTAAATTCTTTATTTAAAAAATTATTCAAATATTTTAGATCGTAAGTAATTCTATTATATTTATATAATATTTACATATAATTTAAACTAACTAAATTCTTTATTTAAAAAATTATTCAAATATTTTAGATCGTAAGTAATTCTATTATATTTATATAATATTTACATATAATTTAAACTAACTAAATTCTTTATTTAAAAAATTATTCAAATATTTTAGATCGTAAGTAATTCTATTATATTTATATAATATTTACATATAATTTAAACTAACTAAATTCTTTATTTAAAAAATTATTCAAATATTTTAGATCGTAAGTAATTCTATTATATTTATATAATATTTACATATAATTTAAACTAACTAAATTCTTTATTTAAAAAATTATTCAAATATTTTAGATCGTAAGTAATTCTATTATATTTATATAATATTTACATATAATTTAAACTAACTAAATTCTTTATTTAAAAAATTATTCAAATATTTTAGATCGTAAGTAATTCTATTATATTTATATAATATTTACATATAATTTAAACTAACTAAATTCTTTATTTAAAAAATTATTCAAATATTTTAGATCGTAAGTAATTCTATTATATTTATATAATATTTACATATAATTTAAACTAACTAAATTCTTTATTTAAAAAATTATTCAAATATTTTAGATCGTAAGTAATTCTATTATATTTATATAATATTTACATATAATTTAAACTAACTAAATTCTTTATTTAAAAAATTATTCAAATATTTTAGATCGTAAGTAATTCTATTATATTTATATAATATTTACATATAATTTAAACTAACTAAATTCTTTATTTAAAAAATTATTCAAATATTTTAGATCGTAAGTAATTCTATTATATTTATATAATATTTACATATAATTTAAACTAACTAAATTCTTTATTTAAAAAATTATTCAAATATTTTAGATCGTAAGTAATTCTATTATATTTATATAATATTTACATATAATTTAAACTAACTAAATTCTTTATTTAAAAAATTATTCAAATATTTTAGATCGTAAGTAATTCTATTATATTTATATAATATTTACATATAATTTAAACTAACTAAATTCTTTATTTAAAAAATTATTCAAATATTTTAGATCGTAAGTAATTCTATTATATTTATATAATATTTACATATAATTTAAACTAACTAAATTCTTTATTTAAAAAATTATTCAAATATTTTAGATCGTAAGTAATTCTATTATATTTATATAATATTTACATATAATTTAAACTAACTAAATTCTTTATTTAAAAAATTATTCAAATATTTTAGATCGTAAGTAATTCTATTATATTTATATAATATTTACATATAATTTAAACTAACTAAATTCTTTATTTAAAAAATTATTCAAATATTTTAGATCGTAAGTAATTCTATTATATTTATATAATATTTACATATAATTTAAACTAACTAAATTCTTTATTTAAAAAATTATTTTGTAATTTCTTTTAGTTGGTAAGTTATAAGTTATTGATTTAATTCTATTATATTGATATAATTACATATAATTTAAACTAACTGAATTCTTTATTTAAAAATTATTTATTTAATAATATAGGAAGTATGTTATTTATTTAATTCTGTTATACTTATATAATATTTACATATAATTTAGGCTAATTAAATTATTTGTTTAAAATATTTTAGCTTGTAAGTATTGCATTTTTTTTTTAACTATAATAATCCTATATTTTTTATAATTAATTTATTATAATTATATAATATTTACTAAATTTTTTTAGTTGGTAAGTTATAAGTTATTTTATACTATTTATTTAAAATTTAAATTAATTAATATTATATTAAATTTTTATAATTTTATTTAGAGTAAGTATAATTAATATTGTTTAATATTTAAATTTTTAATTGTAATTTTATTTTAAATTTTAATTTTTAATATCATTTCATTTTATATTTAAAGATTTGGTACTAGTGGAAATGAAATTGTGGATCAATTTATTTCCAAAAATAAATTAAAATGGATACCTTATGATAAATTTGAAAATATTGAATATCTTGATAAAGGAGGATTTGGTACTATATATAAAGCTAAATATAATAGTGTTGAAGTAATTTTTAAATATTTTGATTATCTTAATAATTCAGATGAAAGTTTAAATGAATTTTTAAATGAAGTATGATTAAATATTATCTTTTTTTTAATATTATAATTTATTTATACTAATTTACTAATAAATATTATTTTTTATAGTGGGAAATTATCGAATATTCAAATCAAATTATTGGAATATATGGATTTACAAAAGATCCAGATACTTTGAATTATGTATTAATAATGGAGTATACAAATAAGAATAGTTTAAAAAGATGTTTAACAGAAATAACAAAAAATTGGGAACAAAAATTATTTTGTTTATATCAAATTATTAGGGGTCTTGATAATATTCATGGAGAAGATCTTATCCATTATAACTTCCATGATGGTAATATTTTATGTAACAAATATAAAGAAAATATATATGGAATTTTTATTAGTGATTATTTAGGATTGTATCAACTTACAAAATCTTTTTTAAAAGAAAATGATATCTATGGAATTTTACCATTTATAGCACCTGAAATTTTAAGAGGTCAACCTTATACACAAGCTAGTGATATATATAGTTTTTCTATAATTATGTGGGAATTTACATCTGAAATATCACCATTTAATGATAAAGCACATGATCTTCAACTTGCTTTAAGTATTTGTAAAGGTAAACGTCCTGAAATCATTGAAAATACTCCACAATGTTATATAGATTTAATGAAAAAATGCTGGGATGAAGATCCATTAAAAAGGCCATCTTCTGAAGAAGTTTTAAATATTATTGGTGATTGGATTTTTCTTCCTTGGCATAAGGAAATTGAAGATATTAATGAAGAATTAAAAAATAATATTATGGAATTTATAAATGCACCAATTGAGCATAATAACCTTATTGTAGAATCTCATCCAAAAGCATGCTATACAAGTCATTTACTTGATTTTACTAGTAAAGAATTAAATGAAATTCTAGAAGGTTCTCAAGGATTTCTAGTCAATTTACAACAAAACTCAACTTTACAAAATGAAGAATTTGCAAAAAAAGAAAGTACTTTACAAATCCAAATTACAAACCTGCAAAGTGAAAAACAAGCTTTAGTTGACAAGCTGAGTGAACAATTAAAACAAAACAGTCAGTTAAATCAAGAAAAAAATAATCTGCAAAATGAATTAGTCCAAACAGAAACCATTATTCAAGAATTAAAATCAAAGCAAGATCAATTTAAAAATCAATTAAATCAATTTCAAATTGGTTATAAGCAAATAGAGGAAGAAAATCTTAAGTTAGAAAAGATTGCTGAAACTTATTATCAAAGTTCTCAAAATGAGTTAGTTAATTTACAACAAAGAAATTCTCAAACAGAAAAAGTCATTCTTAAGTTAGAAAATGAATTATTTGATTTACAACAAAGGAATCTTAAATTTGAGCAAAATAATCAAAACCTGAAGCAAAGGAATTTTGAATTTGAACAAAATAATCAAAATCTGAGGCTTAACTTAGCTAAACAGATTAACAAATTTGCAGAAAAAGAAAATATTTTACAAACCCAAATTATTGACCTGCAAAATGAAAAGCAAAACTTAGCTGGCATTTTAATCAATTTAACTGAACAGTTGAAACAAAATAAACTAACTAACCAGAAAGTTCAAGATCAAATCAGCCAGTTAAAACAAGATGAAATTAAATTGCAAGAAAAATTAGCTCAAACAGAAGCTAATATTCAAGAATTAAAATCTCACAAAGAAAGTTTAATTGAACAAAAAGAGCAATTAGAAGTTAATTATGAACAAATAAAACAAGAAAAAATCAGATTGCAAAATATGGTGAGTGATCTTTTACAAGATCAAAAGTTTACTACTGAATTGAAAGCCAAGTTAGCCAAGTTAGAAAAAGAAATTGCTCAATTGGAACAAAAATTAATTATTGAAGAACAAATCAAAATACAATTAACTCAAGCCTTACAGATTAAAGAAGATAGAATAAATGAATTAGAACAAGAGCTGATTAACCT